TCTCTCTGCAGCAAGTTCACATGCACTCTGGTAAAATGTAAAAGAAAAAAAAAGTGGTGAGGGGAAATAACAAATACCCAAGGAGGAGTGTATTAGGGGATAGAGTACATGACGGATTCAACGTAGGGTATGGTGAGGGTGCTTCATAGACAGATGCCAGTGTAAGTCTGCAGCCCGGATACAGGAGTCGTGATCTAGGTACAAGGGGGAGCTGTGGGGATGACTGAAATCGTCGAGAAAACAACACGAGACAAGAGGACTGAGGGAGGAGTGAGGTTCTTAGCTCTGTTTTCTATTGGGGTCGGCTAGGGTACTTCAGAATAGAAAGCTGCCTAGACTCACCAGATACTCTGAATAAGATCCTCTGAGAAGGGGCCCAAACGGGTGGGTTCTGACTGAGAGTCACTGGTTTTTAAAGGATGAGCAGAGGAGAAGGAGCCAGTGAAAGAGACTGAAAGATTGATCCGTGGAAATAGAACAGAAGTATCACAGAGAAACGGGGGGTGTAGACAGAAAGAGGCCACTCAAGTTGGTCAACAAGAAGGCACTGCTGACCCTACTGGGAGGCATTTGAGGCCAGCGGTTGAGGGGTTCCCAGACTGAGGCCCTCCTGTGGTCCTGTGGGTCCCAGGGCTCTGCTCCAGTCTCCGTCCTTTGAGTCTGGTTACATGTTGCTCAGTGTTTTCACAGATTGCCGGTGCTTCTTTATTTTCAGATCAAGTGTTTCCTCCCACGTGCAACATAGGGAAGAATTTTCTCTCCCTCAATTACCTCGCTGAGTACCTTCAGCCCAAAGCAGCAGACGGCTGTGTGATGACCAGCCAGCCCCAGGATAAGGAAGTACACATCATTGAGTTACTCTCCCCCAACTCCAACCCCTACAGGTAAGCCAGTGCTCGTGTGCGTGTGCGTGTACGTGCATGTGTGCATGTGTGTGTGTGCATGTGTGCTCTGAGTTTAAAAGAGATGGAAATAAAGATCCTCCTTGACTTGAGGCAGAGACAGGTGCAGAGGAAAGGAGACATCTATGCTTTGGGTGGGGTTCACAGAAGTGTCGAAAAGGGAGTGAAGACACCAGTGGTAAATTTTATATTCTGCATCTGTCTCTAGATCCCATCTATTCCTCATGAGTTCCTGAAGCCTGTTCTGAATATTAGTATTGGTTATAGTCATGCTTGCTCCGCCTTATCTCCTTTGACTGAGGTTATTCCTGTTAAGAAAATAAGATGTGCCCTATTAACATAATGATCACTTTCATGGGATTTGATTTTTAATAAAGTTCCATTCATAATATCCTCAGAGCGCTCATGCACTCAGAACCACTTGGCTTTACAACCCTGTGTATATTTGTGTGTGTGTGCATGTGTGTGCGTGCGTGTGTGTGTGCCTGCGTGGATTGTGGAGGTAGCCATATGGTGACATACAACAGAGCCATTAGATACAAAGTACCTCTATCTTGTGTGCTTGTTCTGTCTCTCGGCTTCCTACCCCTGGACTGGCAATTTGATCCACCCTGTCAAGAATAATGACATTTTTATAAAGAAAGAAAAAGGAGGAAACATAGGTCCTTCTCGTCCTTCTCACACTTTAGTCAGCTTTTCATATGAACTAGGTACTTCACATTTTAAATTTGTATTGTAGGAGGATTTCCAAGTTAAAATTCAAATTGAGTTTTGGTTTCAAAAGTGAAGCAACTGCAGATCAGTTGGTAGCATTCCATTCTGTCCCACATGAAGAATTTTGTGGAAAATTAGAAGGGAATGGGAATAGAAGCAAACTTGGCAAACAGGCTTAGGTATTTTGCCTAAGGCTTCATTTGCGTATACTGTTCGTTTTATGCTTTACGAGTGTGTAAAACCAAGATGGAAATACTTTTCCCTTAAATTCAGAATGACAGAGATGTTACTATTTAGTAAAAAAAATCTTTTATACTGAATTCTTAGAAGTTTGGACTGTGTTCATCTATTTTCCAGTAATCACTTGGTTGACCATCTGTTTTCTTTCTTTTAATAACTGTATATCCAGAAGTTGGGGAAAGTAAATGCAGATATGATTCTGCAGCAATTGTTAATGACTTAAACAAACTTTATCTAAGTCAAGAGATTCTCTAGCCTTTTGTCTCTTATTTTATTCTGGAGTTGGCTATTTTTTTTAACCACCATGCCTCCCTTCTACCTGCCATCTCCTACCTATCAGACAGCCCTTCACTTCTAGTTTCTAAAGAATTTGGGCTTATAACAAGCTGAAAATTTACACATTGAAGATGTCGAAGACTTGAAAAAAGCAGCAGTTCAAGCTAGCCAGGTGGTGTGCTGGTTGAGGCAGCTGGATCCCACATGGCTGACTGAGGTCAAGTCCTGGACCTAGAGGTTGAGTGTGTGTGTGTGTGTGTGTGTGTGTGTGTGTGTGTGTGTGGTCAAAAGCCCAAGAGGAGAATGGGGGGAAAGGGACCATGGTGTGGCCATCCCCTCTGGGGGTAATTTCTCACTTTTCCTCATCTCTCTTTCTCTCTCTGGTGAGCGCATGTACCCTATAGCATAAAACAAAAGCAGCAGCAGTTCTCCTTATAACTTGAACTCCACCAGTTTGTCCAGGTTCATTTCAAACAGTGCCTTCATTAATGACCCTCCCCACCCCCACCACCAAGAAGAGAAAAACTTCAGAGGCTAATTATCAGCAAGACTATGTTTCTATTGTTATGTAAAACCGTTTTGTTATGTGTGCAATAACAATCTGTTTTGCACATGTCATTTGCCTGGGATTGACTCCAGCTTACTAATCAACTGGCCAGACATTGGAAACATGAAGACTTGGAAGAGGGGAGATAGTTGCAACTTTCTGGTATTCTGGTCCTAATTTTGCCGTTGTTTTCCATTCACAGTGCTTTCCAGGTGGATATAATAATTGACATAAGACCTGCCCAAGAGGATCCTGAGGTGGTCAAAAATCTCATCCTGATCTTAAAGTGCAAGAAGTCTGTCAACTGGGTGATCAAATCTTTTGACGTTAAGGGAAATCTGAAAGTTGTTGTAAGTTGGTTGAGCATTTCTTTGTTTTGACGAATGGTAATAATTGAAGCTGTGGTTATACGTGTTATTTTTGTAAAGTTGCTGCCTCTTTGGACCTCTAAACTCTCTCGATTATTTTTCACTTTGCAAAATTGACCATTTTCACCTTTTTCTGACATGGGTGGTTGGTTTGGTGATTAAAACTTGGTCTGTGGGATCAAGATAAACCCTAGTTCGAGTCCTGGCTCTTTCATTTACATATTGTGACCTTGGGCAAGTCCTTTAACCTCTCAACCCTATTGCCTCCTTTGTGAAATTCCTGATGAATGTTAATGTGCTCTCTTGTTGTAGTAAGTGGAAAATAATAAACACAATTAAGCTTTTCAAGGTTGAGAGTCCTTTGGAGGCTTCAGTGTCATAGTCCCAAAGGCATGGCTTGGTACTTAGGGAGGATATGGAAAATGAGGCTGACCCCAGCTCCCACAGTAGACTTTTCTTTCTGCAATAAATACATTGTATTAGTATGTCTTTTTGGTCTAACTTCTAAGAGGGAACCCTAGTAGAAAGTCATAATAACTCTGAGGTTAGTGGGATGATACTGAAAAAGTGTACCCCAGCGTGTTCCTTCAGTGTTCTGTTTCGTGAAAGAAATACACTTGAGAGGCTTAGCTGGTTGGCTTAAAAGGCAAACAGCAGCTAGTTTCCTGTAAAGTTGAATGTTGAAATTTGGTCCAAATAAATATTATCTCACACATGTTTAGGGGCAATGTGACAGAGTAACAGAGTGAATTTTATTGAAAGTTAAAGAAAAATCCCTCGCCCCCCCCCCTTTTTTTAAAAGAAAATAATGACCTTTTTAGCATCTCTTTTATAAGTTCAAAAAATTTTTTTTTCAAGTTTTTGTTACAGGGTGCACATGCTTGCCAGAGAAAGACAGAGAGAGAAAATGAGAAATCACCTTCTAGGTGGATGGCCACACCACAATCCTTTCTCCACTCTCCTTTTGGGATCTTGGGCACGCACCTGACATGATTTCCAAGTCACTGAGTCAGACTCAAACCATGCAGTCGACCATGTAAGATCCAGCACCTTAACCTCCACATCACCTGCTGGCCCAGGCTCAAATTTTTATGCCTTCTTTTTTTTTAAATTGGTCAAGTTCTCCTTCAGTACTGATATTGAATCACTTGGTATAGAGTTTATGTTTTCAATATTTTGGGAGAGAGCTGCCTTCAGGATGGGTATTGCTGTGTTCATTTGTGGCACTCTCCAGGGGGATCAACAGAGACCAAAACCTCCCCCTCCCTAGGCAACACCATGTTGAAGCACTCACCAGAGGCAGAGGCAAAGCCACCAGCATGCACAGCTTACCATTAAAGTAATTGGTTCTGGTTCTTGTGGGTTTCTTTTTCATTTATACATTGAGAATATTCCAATAAGCCACCATGTGTAACAGTGATGCATTAATTTGGTGTTGAGCACAAAGCCCAGCCATGATTTTTTGAAGTCAGAAGGGATGTTTTGATTGCCTTCCCTGGCATGGCTTGAGGGGTGTTGGTGACCTGGGGTGTCTGCTGTCTTTGTTGCCTGGCACACCTACCAAATGTTTTTAATTTCAGAATAACAAAAACAGGAAAGGGAATCATGCTTTGAAAGGCAAAAACATACGGTCCATTTTAATTCCCTGCTGGAGTTCTTGTGTAAATAGTCTTTCGGCCCTGACCCCTCAATGGCTGTTTCTCTCTGAGTACGTGTGCCTGGTTCATGGCAGTCCTGGAGTTCACGGTGGATGTCCCCATCTCTCATATGAATCAGAAAGGCTAGAAATGAGATTGCTCATCCCACTGCAAGATCTGTTTATATTCCTCTCCTTGGCTGTACTCCTGTTCCAGGCCAATTTTGGACAATGCATAAAAACATTACTAAACAATTAGGTAATGTTTCATGATGTTCTTTTTTATTCTCCCAATCGGTTTCATGCTCTGTGACTTTCTAACTCCCTGTCTCCGATGTGAATTCTGACTGCTGCAGGGGAAACTTACCTGCTAATACAAAGGTAGAAAAGTGCTTAGCAAGGGAAAGATGATTTATAGAGCAGAGACCTTGTTTCTAGCATTTTCGTTAGCGACAGCCTGGTGGAGTGGAAAGAATTTTGACTTTGTGCCAGGCAGGCCTAGATTTAGACTGTAGATATTGGGCATTCTAATTCAACAGTGCATCTGTTTGCTCATCTGTGAAATGGATGTGATGAAAGTATTCACCTCAAGTTGTATTGTGAGGTTTAGCTGAGTTTGTTCATTCCACAAGTACTTGTGAGGGCTCCACATGATACTTCATGTCCAACCCTGGGCGTGTTGCCTGCACATGGCAAGGTCTCAGCTACATGTGCTTCTTCACTTCGCTTCTTCTTCTCTAACGAAGGAATAGTAATGCCTGGAAGGAGAATTAAATAATATATGTAAAACTCCTAGCTCAATGCCTGACATACGAAGCGGTTCCTCTTCCTTCCATAAGCACACTCATCAAGAGTGTGTCGGTAGAAACAATAAGGGCACATCTCTAAACAAAGGGAAAAACAGAGAAAACATGTCTTCTCAGGAATTGTAAGGAACTTGATGGGATGAATTTAAAGAAGAGCACCATTAAACATGGATGGCTTGCACGTGTGTGTCAGGGTGGGGCAAGGGCAGAATGCACCGTCCCAATGACAAAATGGCCAAAAGAGATGCAAAGGGCTGTGCTCTGGGCACGGACAGGGACACTGGAGAGATCACAGTGCCATATCCAGCTCTGGCTCTGGCCTCAGGCCATTTTTATGGCAGGAAGGTCCTCCAAAATGTAGACTAGGTGGAGGACACTTGGAAGAGGCTCGTTCTTACACCGTTTCATGTGGTCTCAGGACTTCAGTGTTGGTGATAGATAGCCAACTTGCTGTCAGAAAAAGGCATTTTTCAGATCCCAAGGAATACTCACTGCTTCTCTGGACATTCCCTTCCCCAAAGCTTTCCTACACCATTGATTCTGGTTTTTTTGTTTTTGTTTTTGTTTTTTTTTTGGAAAGGTTTTTGCTATAGGGCGCATGTGCTCGCCAGACAGACAGAGAGAGACAGAGAGCAAGAAATCACCCCCCAGGGGGGATGACCACGCCGCAATCCCTTCTCCTCCATTCTCCTCTAATACTCACTGCTTCTCTGGACATTCCCTTCCCCAAAGCTTTCCTACACCATTGATTCTGGTTTTTTTGTTTTTGTTTTTGTTTTTTTTTTGGAAAGGTTTTTGCTATAGGGCGCATGTGCTCGCCAGACAGACAGAGAGAGACAGAGAGCAAGAAATCACCCCCCAGGGGGGATGACCACGCCGCAATCCCTTCTCCTCCATTCTCCTCTCGGGATCTTGGGCATGCACGCACATGCGCCCGGTGTGAGTTTTAAGCCACTGGGTCCGGGATGCAAACCGCGGTCGACTACGTGGGAGTCCAGCGACATAGCCATTAAGCTAACTGCTGGTTCCCACCATTGATTCTGATGGGAAGCTGGTGCAGAGAGCCTTAGACTGTGTAGCTCATCACCTTCCATGAAGAGGTGGCTGGGAAAATGGTGATGGTCTTTGGAGATCTTTAACATCACTGTTTGAAGTAGCTCCACTGAGATTGGGAAAAGCCTGGGGACTCCCAGAAAAATAGGGTGAAGAATTTGCTCAGTGCTGGGAAGCAGCTTGCCCGCTGTTGTCGTCCCAAGCCTTGGTGCTTTACAAATGTGTAGATAGATGTCTAGGCTTTTAAGTACCAAGACGTAATCAATATGAGATGTACTGACAGCTCCTAGATTTAGTGTGGAAAGGTGTAAACAGATCACTCCACGTTGGTACAGAAGGACAGGTGGCAGTTATGATGGTAGTATTCTGGAAATACGATATTATCTCAGCTGTCCAACAGCATGAAAGACTAGGGCAGATGAGGCCAAGCCGTGTCGTCACGGCCAG